CCGTAAACCTTAAACCCTAAAACCCTCAACCCCAAAACCCTAAACCCCGCAGCCCTAAACCCTAAAACACTAAACCTGAAACCCCACCCGCGCCTTCACCGAAAGATAAAAAAATGCGCACTGGACGCTGGAATGAATGCGCACTGGACCCCCCTTCCTAGCAGCGGGTAGAGAGGGGGTGCCAGCCCAAGAATGAAGCAATGATTGTCGTTGTGGTCAGTCGTAGTTGTCGGTCGTGTACTGGTGCAAGGAGAACTTATGCGTTGCATTGTTTAAACGATCAGTACGATCCTTAAGTGTGAGTGGCCCAGCCACTAGCAGGTTTGTGTGGTCAGAAGAACAGCTCCAAAAGCTGGGGCCCATGGCTTCGTGTTTTGCTTTGTGCGAAATGGCTTTGTTGTTCTTGGATGTTGCTGAGGGCTGTCTGTCTTATGCTCTGAAGGAAGATGCCAGTCGGTGATGATTCAGGCCCAGCACAAGCTTGTTTTCTCACCATTCGGCTGCCTGTTCAGACTGTTCTATTGGTGACTGTTGATGACCACAGTCACGAGTGGAAGATGGAGTCTGAACATTTCGCTTCAGGTGGGCAGCAACAAAGCGGAAGTGGCCGCGAGCGGGGAGCCCTCACGTGCATTCAACAGCTGCCCCAGGCATGAGTACCAAGGATGACAGGCTGCTCATTGTCTGCCTTCTTGGCCCTTGCACCAGGCAAGGTGGGATGAAGCTTTGTCACATGTCTCGTGAGAAATGGTAGGCTATACATTGTTCGCTGCCGGAGACGAAGAAGCACTTCTGTCGAGGAACGACCTTCAACCAATTGTTGGTCGCAGCACTTGGATATGCAATAGGTTATATGAGTTTAAACCATTCGAAAGTTGTTTCGTTTTGTGAGGTCGGCCGCCAGAGGCTTTCGTGAAGCAGCCATGTGTTTGACAGTTGAGGGACCACTGTCGTGCATCCACCTGATGCGGAAAGAAATTCGCAGGCCACCGAAACCAGGCTACTTCCCTGAATGGTTTGCTCTCAGGAAGTCCGGGAGGCAGAAGACATCCACTGCATGTTGGCTGAATCGCATCTGGGTAGCTCCGTGATGAAAACTGCACCGCGATTCTCACGCAAAATGACGGTTTCGTTTCATGCGATCGCGAGCGAGTGGCAGAGTGAAAGTAAAGCATATAGTGGCCCGGGGACAGACAGTGGCCGTTGTAGGTGCCGCGATCTGTGGGCCAGATAGGTTCTTACTTGTACATTTTGGTTGCTCGCCCGGCGATTCCGCGGCCTCCACTGTGCATTTCGACTACAGTGCTACAGTCGACTTCTTGCCACAGCTCTGCCATGAACACGGAGTTCGTTGTACACTCCAGTTTCGGTCTTCAATTCGCCAGAAGTCGCTGAAGTCCTGGCATGGCCACCCTACGTGTCTCTTCGGTTGTTTGCCACACTCGGTATTGTCCCGCTACGGTTCGTGTTTTCGTTAGTGTGTGGTGTGAATTCCGGTGTGCCAGTCGTGCTTTCGGCAGCTGTCTCGCGCATGATCATAGGTGCTCCTGGCATGGCTCTTGGGTAGAGCTTGGACGCCAGGTTGCGTGGAGCCTACGCTGGCATATTTCGATCACGGCTTTTTTGGATAATCTAACATAAAAGTACACGACCCAAGGCGAGGTTTTTACATCCCCTGCAATGCACAGATGAATGATGACACACGGATATAGCGCCATGTGTAATACAAGAAGTCCGCATTTACTTCTGGGCTTTGTCCTGCCGTGCATGTACTAGTACTAGTACCTCCTCCTCTTCCTCCTACTCCTGCTGCTACAATGATATTACTTCTGCTGCTGCTGCTGCTGCTACTACTACTACTACTACTCCTACTGCTCCTACTGCTCCTGCTCCTGCTCCTGCTCCTGCTGCTGCTGCTGCTGCTGCGACCACCACCACCACCACCACCACCGCCAGTACAGTGTGCCGGGAATGTAGAACAACTATTCGAGCAACATTGCCTGCAATCTTGGTCATCTTGCCCTACTGTCCCCGCTTGAACGGGGGGCAAGATGACCATGTCATCTTGGTCCAAAAGGGTAAGCTAGTCGAGCAGGTGGGGCAAGATGACCGAGATTGCAAGATGACATGGCGCCAAGATGACCAAGATGACCAGTGGCCGAGCAAGATGACCAAGCTGGCAAGATTACCAAGATTTGCAGCTCAAATACTTGTTCTAAATTCCCAGCACAATGGTACTAGTGCTACTAGTGTTACTGCTTCCACTTCTTACCATCAGTCTTAGCAGGCCGTGAAATAAGTTGGAGCATAGTGGCATCGCGTCGGTCTCCAGAATTGGCATTTGCGACTTGCCACCATCGACGGGATGGCGATCTGAAAAGTCTGTTTGGGACTCGTGCCGGTTCCAGTCATGCTGCAGCAGATTCCGGCACTCGAAGTTTTAGGTGGTTCCACAAGCCTGTCTGCATCAGCACAACCGCGCACTGCTCTTCGCACGTGCCAGGATGCTTGGCTGCGTGGTGCCTTCTGCAACCCTCGCAGGGTCACCAATGCGCCTGGCTCATAGGTATCATGAAATATTGCTTGCGTGGATAATGGGACGCTGCCATTCTGAATTGAGCATTCTGGCTTTAAGTTTGCTCCTCCCCGAGAGGCCCACCAAAAAGACCATCACACGTCCCTTCTTGAATGGGCCGTTTCGCAGCACTCGGCCCTCGAATCGCGTACAGAAGAATTCACCGCCGCCGCCACTGAAGTATTTGTCGATCTGAAGCATTCGAGGCTCTGTCAAGTTATAACCCGCATTCTGCTTCTTCGACATTCCTAGCCGCGATGTCTTTCGAAGCTCGCCTGAGGGTCCTCTGTCGAGCATGCGAGCCAGGCCACTCTGTTTCTGTTTCCACGGTTCTCCTTGTCTTGATTACAGTCGATCGCGACAGTTTTTGCTGCGACCAGGGGGAACGCACATGCAAGTAGACAGCATGTTGGCATGCTCGGTCGGTGTCAGGCACACCTCGAACAGGGCAGCATATGGCATGTAGTGAATGCAGACATGAGTTGGGAAGTTCAGGCCCGACTATGCAACCTGGGGGTTCGACTTTCGGGCCTTGGTCCGGTTCCAAATGCCGCGCGAAAGCCCCTCCGCCTTTGCCCTCCGCCCGTTCTCTCAAGGCAGATCTGAAAGTCTCTGCCTCGGCGCGGTGCAAGCAGCTCAAGCACCTGCTGAAGGCCTGGGCCTGGGCATGGCAATGGAAAGTCTCAGCCTCTCCCTGCAAACACCAGGCTCATGGAGCTCGTGCCTTTTCCTTGAGCGGGACAGACTGCTGAAAGCATCTGATAGCTGTGTGCTGTCGATGCGTCGAAAATGGCTGCTTTTCATTGTCCCCGTGAATTTCTCATAACTTCTCTATGGCCTGGGGCCTGACTTGGGCTTGTTCCGGATCGAGCTGCCGGACGGTCTTGCACAGAATGTAGAAGCTTTCTACTGCATGTACGACAGCCTGCCAGCGAACAACCCTTCACTGCGCAAGCGCTGGACCGCACTCCCAGTTGCAGCAGGAAGTTTCAACACCTGCTGCCATGGGGCTCATGCGCTCAGTTTGACTCTTGAAAATCTGAAAAGTATTCAGACATGTTCACTGTCATTGTCGTGTTCGTTGGCTTGGCGGATGTGTCCGTAGTAGCAGTTTCCAAAGCAGCCTCGGGGTCGGAAGGAGCTAAAGCTTTCTCGATGTAGCTTTCTACTTTGGCCATGGCGGCTGCACTTTGCCAGTGGCGAATGATTAGCGGCAAGGCGTGGTGACTCCAGTGGTGGCATGTCATATCATGAGGTGGACGAGTTGTGAGATTTCAGCTTGCATTTGCATCGATTCCAAGCAGCGAGTTCTCCTGAACAGGCTCGCATGCCTCATTTTCCTAACGCAAAGCAGCACGGGCCAAAATCCTGAAAGCAGATGATGGATGATGAATCCAAAATGAAATCATGGAATTGGCAACTGGGGAGCCCAAACCTCCAAACGGGGATGATTCCGGGATGATGCATTGATTGGCACAGCCGAAGAACAAGATGAGAACGGGGCGAGGCCCAAACCCCAACCCGCCGAAGGGAGATGATGGGGTGGTGGGACCGAACCCTGGACGGCGAGCTAAAAGCCTTAAAGACATGTGACAGGGTGGCCAGCCCAAAATCCGAAAAGAAGACGAAAGAGTGTCGTGCAAATCTCTGACGGGAAATGACGGGTTTGCGAGTGACCTTGGAGATGACAGGACGAGGAGAGAAGAAAGTATGACAGTCCCGAATCTGCGAAAGTAGACGATGGTCGCACATGGCGAGACCAAAAGGAGCCAAAGGAGACGATGGAATGGGCCCACATATGAGACGCTGGGGTGGTGGAGAGCCCATGGCGCTAGAAGAAGATGCCACGGCATGTCGGTGGCCAGCCCAAGCCCTTAACGCCACATACTGGTGTGCAAGCGTATTTGCACGCCCTTTCCAGCGGGAGGCATGCAGACACAGTTACAGGTGATGGGTGTTGGGCACCGTGCAGTACTGTAGTCACAAGAGGTGCATTTCGGCAGGTGTAAGTGTAAGTGGTTGATTGGTCCATGAAAATGCCTGCAATTTGCAGGTACCGTTCTCAGACTCGGTCTACTGCATCGGCCGGCTTGATTGACTTTGCTGACATGGCTTCTGCAACGAAGGCCAGCCGGGGAGTATGCGAGGCAATCCGAAGGTGTACGTGTTCAGTCAAGATGCCGAGATATGCTAAATATTGCAATTGTGTACCTGACGCTAAAGTGCTTCTCCGCCTGTCGAGGCTCCCTGGAACTGGCTGTTGGAGAGAGGAATGGACCCTGCAGGAACTTACCATTTGTCAAGGGTTGGACATGCCTGGATCACTGAGGTGTCGGTTTCTTGAGGGAAGCATTCAATTCTTGTTGAAGAGGTTGACTGCACAGGCAGCGCATCGGCACCGATTGAGGTCGGGTGGAAGGCAAGGGATTCTCAGTGCATGGCTAGCTGTACCAGCCTCGCAGGAGCTGTCAATCGCCTCCATGGATCTGGCCGGGTTTAAGGAAGTTTGGCATTGCCTCCAGAGTCAGCCAGAACCTGGAAGCGCCGTATGGCCGGAACTGCTTCTGGGTAGCTCAATACGCTCCTGCAGAGCATGCGCTTAGTGCGCACAGCCATGCAAAGGCCTTCCGGAGCTTGTCGATCACCGCAGTGTCAACTTTCTTTGGACCTGGAGGGTGTCATCTCGTGCAAGATCAGGGAACGAGGTCAGCTTCTGCCTTTGCTTGCAGTTTTCATCATTCCACTACCCAAAAGACTCTCTTATTTTGCAGCTATATGCGAAGGCCATCGGCAAGCATGTCTGTGCAGTTGCTGAACAAAGTGCAACGCGCAAGAATTCTTGGCTAAGGTTCGCTGAGTAGGGGCTGATGGTGCAATGTTTCGGATGTTCTCCTCCAGATCTTTGCGGCTTTGACCCAGAATATGATTGCATGTTTGATCCGTGCCGAGCATATCACATCAAGCGGCAGTCAAGTCTCGGCTGTGTGCACAGCCTCAAGATGAAGCGTTACACAAGGTCTGGCGACACAAGCCGCCTGCTTCGACGTAGGTGCACAAAGTCTAAGCTGAGCCATATGTTCAAAAGATGCTCCTGGATCGTTTAGCTCCGATAAGAGTGTGCAGCGGCTCGGCCCAGCTCATTAAGTTGGTTTGTTGAGAGCCTCAAGGCCTCCAACAGTTTCTCTGTGTCGAGGGGATCCATGGGCCGTCCATGTTTCGCTGAGCCCATTTCTGCATCCAGCTTGTCTTGAACGTGGAGCAGTGCTTGTGCAGCGACAGAAAGCTCCTTTTTGATCCCCTCGGTATCGCTTGAGCCGGCCTACCACGATGCAGGCCGTTCCTTCCCCCCTTAAAATTCCGCATTTTCTAAGACTTCGGAGATGTGCAGACTCTCGGGGCCGGGATTTTCACGGCTGAGGGCTCAGCGACACTGATCCATGCAGGGGCCCTTGAGCAAGTGCGCAATGTGGCTCTTGTTGGCGAGGATGAGTTGCTAGACGACTTCAGGCTCTCTGGATCTAGCGTAGTGGTATTTGCGCTGCAATCTGCAAGCTTCAAAACCAACTTCGTGCATGTAGCCTGACCTCACCAGGTCAGTAGTACACACGACCTTCGGGAGGCTTGTTCGGACGTTTGTTGCGCTCCAAGTTGGCTCGAGTTCTCTGCGGACTCCTGAACTTGAGCAGTGCTCCACAGTCTTAAGGCTAAGGGTTCCTAGTGCTTTTGAGAACCTGTGGCCGACAGACCGTGGCTGACTTCAAGATGGCTTGCCCAACGTTTCTGCCCCGTGTTTGCAAGAATCCGCATGTGGATCAGCAAACGGAGTACATTCTTCGGGTGTTTTTTTGTGACACGGTAAGCATCCCAGAGTGGACGAAGTGTGAGGTCTGAATTCGTGTTGAATTTTGCGAGCTCAGCCCCCAACTGAGTCTGAGTCTGGCAGCGGCTTTGCTTGTTCAGTGCAAGCGATTTACGTGGTGGCTGTGGAACGTGCAAGACGATGAGCTCGCATGTGCCCCGTGAACGGTCGAGTCGAATCTTTTGTAGCACCCGCTTGGAGGGCAATGTGGTCGGGTAAGGCCGAAATGTTCGAAGCTGCTTCTAGAAAGCGCCCGGTCCCGAGCAGCCGGCTTCGTGTGCACATACGCCTCAAGCCTAAATGTTCCAAAGACGGCCAACACAAGACGTCGGAGATTCCTTTGCTTGCCGGAGCCCCCGCCGATCCGCTTGGGCCTTGCGACCTTGGCCTTACCAAAGCCTTTCTGCGAGATAAAATGCTTTCTTGGAGTCTTTGCCGTTTTCGTATTGTGCCCGTGCGTTTGCTCTTTGACGGCTCGTGATGGCACGATGCCGGACTCTGCTTCCGCTTGATTGACTCGTGACGTCCACCTCACATTGCGGCCACTGTGGCCGTGGCCTCTGCCTGACAAAGAGCCTGGCCTTGCAGCACTTGCCAGTGTGCTGCTTTACGTGACCGTGGTGCCAGCGGCTTCGAGAAGGTGCTGGCCCTTCACGGCTGCGCTGCCTGCTCTCGCTGGGCCTTAGCTTGTTCTCTATCTAGCTCAATTTCGCTTTGCAGTAGTTGCTTACCAGGGACCTTTAGGAACCTTCAAACCATCGGGCATAGTGGAATTTTGGTGAAGTCCCAGGTGCCCATGAGGAGATGAGGATTCCAGAGGTGATCCTAAGGTCGACCAGCCATCGTCCTTTCCTTGATGCTTCGTGACGACTGAGGCCTGGCGGAGGTTTCATGCTCTACCGGCTCGGTTACCGCAGCTACTATGCCCCTGGGCGATGTGCCAGAAGTGGCCATTGCTTCGAGTTAAGTTGGAATTGAAGAAGGGCTGCTGCTGCCGCTTCTGCCCTTCTGTTTTTAGGGCGCTTCGGCTGTGACCTGTCATATCTATTTTGAGTAGGCGATCCCTCCCGCTGAGGCCTAGCTCTGTGCTCTACCATTAATCCCACTTCGTGTAGGAAGTGCTTACGGTGAAGGGTTCTACCGGTGCAGGTCTGCGCTGGCATCGCCGGGTACACGGTAGCATCAGATTGCTACACCTCGGACTGGATTTCCGCTTGCTTGGCCTTTGTTGCACTAGTTGCCTTGTAGAGCGGCCTGGCAAGTGAGGTCAGGTCCATCAGATGTCTGGGTAAGAGCCTGCTTGCCCAGCATTTGTCCAGCTGCTGGCTGTGCAGGCTTGTTCACTCCATGCTGCTGCCGGCATTCAAAGCATGCTCAGCCGTCCTGCAGCCAGTGAAGGCCGCACCGGAAGCACCCGACCAAAGACGCACCCTTGCACGCAGTCACGTTGCCGGTGCAACAGATGCCAGGCTACTGTAGACTCCAATTGGTGTGCCTTGGCTACGTGGTGTACGCGAGTCGTAGTGCTTGGTGTCTCGCCCAAGTTGCCTTCTTGCCCTGCCTCATGCCGGTGGCAAGCACGGCCACGGTGCAATGAGGTCAAAGCTCGCGTGTCGTGCCTGCATGTTGGACCCGGGAACGCAGACTGCCCTTTGCTGCGAAGCCACAGGTCCAGCAAAGTCTGATCTGCATTGTGCCCAGCAAGGCTCAGTTCACATCTGCTTGGCCTGCAACGACGCTTGCCAAGGGCCTGTCACAAGACTTGCCGATTGAATCGATCACACTGTAGTGGCATCATGCACCGTGTGCTTCGCATGCATGCGCTTCGCCGCGAACAAAGCATCTCGGAGTTCAGAAAACGCAGCTACGGCTAGTGCACACCCTTGGCCCTTG